CAAAATCTTCCCCATAAAAGCCATACGTGCCGTAGATTTCGCGAGCTTCATCTGCCATGCGTCAACAGAGACCCAGCTTCCATGAAAGTATTTAGATTAGCTACATTCCACTGTTTTAGCACGGGGACGTTGTCTCATTCCCCTGCGAAACGAGTTTAATTACAAGAACTATAATTACAAACCAGAGCCGAGTTTTGCCCTCACAATAAATGCATATAAACTTGACAGAGGAAAAGTGAGGGCAAATATACACGTGTTTGAACCTAAAGAGGGAGAGACTTACAGATGTAAACATGACTGGGAAGCAACAAACACACACAGGCGTTTGTATTCAAGAATACGCTAAGTATGCTGTGGGGTTGTTGTGAAATATATGTATGTACACACACACAACACACACACACACACACACACACACACACACACACACACACACACACACACACACACACACACACACACACACACACACATATTATATATATATATATATATATATATATATATATATATATATATATATATGTATGTATATATACATATATATATAGATAAATAAATATATATAATATATATAATATATATGTAAGTATATAGATATATATATATATATATATATATATATATATTTATATATTATATATATATATATATGTGTGGTATTATATATACTTAACTACATATATTATATATATCATATTTAATTATATACAATTACATATATGCATATATGTTACATACATACACATACATTATACAATTATATATATGCATATATGTATACATAATATACATTCGTATTACATATATATAATAAATATAATATATATATATATATATATATATATGTATAGTGCTATATTATATATTATATATATATATATATATATTATATTTATTATATATATATATATATAATATAATATATATATATATATATATATATATATATATATATTATATATATATATATGTATATATAATTATATATAAATATATATATTTATGCCAAAATCGTTGATTTGACATGGAAATTACATATGCAGTTTTAAATATGCATTTAGGACATTTGTTGGGCGGTAGAGCGGTGTTGCCACTCTGCTATATTTTAGCATTCGGAATATAGTAAAATTCAGTAACATTACATGTACAATGATTGCTGGATGGAAAATTACGTACGTTTATGCTATTGGGAGGAAAAAATTGAGAATGTAATCTTCAACATTCTACCTCAGGCTGTGTAGTGTCAGTCTGGCAAGAGTTTATTGGAGGCAAGTGGGTTAAAGATTATGTTTTGTACTGGTGTTGATTTTTTGGAGGAATGATATAAGTTGGGACTTGTGTAGTATACTAGAATGTAGGTGAAGATATATACTATATAACTATCTAGGTGAGTCTGGTGTGAATTTCTCAGGACAGGTTCTAAACGTGTGAAAATAGGAGGCAACTGGCTAATGGTGTCATGGGGCCGTTGACTCCGAGATAATAAAGATAATAAATAATAAAGATAAAAATGGATGATAAAGATAATAAATAATAAAGATAAAAATAGATAATAAAGATATAATAATAATGAGATAATAAAGGGTTGAGAAAATGGATAAATGGTGGCTCGTCGAAGGGCAACAGCACCAGGGCCAAGCAAGTGACTGAATAATATTTAAATTATTTTGGTGTGCCATTGAGAGCAGAAACTAGAGAAATATTGATGACTTTTGTTGTGATCATTTTTTTCCTTTTTGTGTACCATTATTTTTCCATATCCAGCTGTCAGTTGTAGAAGATAGGTATTTAGGTTTTGTTCAGTCCATCTGCAAGTTAGCTCATGTAGATTAATGCCTGTGCCCCTCTGGTAAATACCACAGAAATGTAAAATTATATTACTACTCCTTTGGGAGAACATACTTTTTCTTGGTGTTCATATAAATTCCGTTCATTTGGTCAATAATGTAAAATAAATACTGAAGTTCAGTCATGTTTTTATATTATTTTATATTTTTTATTTGCAGAATAAGCTGCCGACCAATATTTTTTTTTTCTTTAGTTTAACATACCAATAAGGAAAATCGCATAACCCAAACACATGTCCTGCCTTGAACTGCAAAGTTTTTTTTATTCTTTTCCTTATATTTTCTTCCTTTTTTTCTCTTACTTCTTCTTTCTTCTTATTTCTTCCTTTTTGCCTTCTCCAGTCGTATTTTCTCTATTATATTTCACATTATAATCTTCTTCTCTTTCTTCTCTTTTTTTCTCTTCTACTCTACATCTTTTCACCGATCATAGGATTCTTCGCGATCCCCTTTTGAATCGATACCCGGCGTTCTACTATACGTGGCACCGGCGGCATGATACCACAGACCAAACAATTAACACTTGAGAGCCTA